TCTACATCAGCACATCAAGGAGAGAACACAAGAGTGAAGCGAGGAGAGAAGAAATCGCCAGATGTAAGTTTAATCAATCAATCAATCAATCAATCTATCTATCTTATATATTACAATATATGCAATACATTCTTTAAAGGTTTTTATCATGAGGTACATGTATTAAACATTGTGTATACAGTAGGAGGGGTGAACACAACGAAACATCTGGCAACATAATGCAATCAATTAGAATAAGCTCAACGTACAATGTGTAGTTTTTGATGGTATTGTTTCAGAGGTTGTTTTGTATTGACTGATGCATTTTCATGACCAGTAGCATCTTGCTTGGCGTTCCTCATATATCTATCTATCTACCTACCTACCTACCTACCTACCTACCCAACCCAAATAAGTAACTTTTATGGTTCATGGTTCAGTGATGGCCAAATGAGGCTGTCACTGAACCACTGTCTTTATTTTCTGAAGCCACCAGATGGCGCTGTCTGTTCAACAAAGGTTTGAAAGCACACTTCATTGCCAGTCCTTCAGCCTTTATCCTTAAACCAATAGCGCCATCTGGTGGGGTCAGAAAATAAAGAAAGAGGTTCATGAGGCTTCATTGGCCATCATTACTTCATGGGCTAAAAAAAAGCATTTATGATGTGTGCATGTTAGCTCTGGTTTTAATGTGATTTGCATGTGACCTTACCATCTGATGTTCCTCTTCCTTATAAGGCTAAAATTTGTATACTAGAGGGAGCAGAGCAGCACTTTTATAAGCTGGACAAATAGCCCATAAACAAGCTGTTAAAATCATGTGTATCCATCTCCTCTAACAGAGTGAAGATGCAGTGGGGCCTGATTGTGCTCGTTCTGATGGGTAAGTGGATCATTTGCTACTGCTGCTAAAATCACTACAGCTTCAAGCTACAATTGATAACATTTTTAAAGATGTGTCATATTTGCTGAAATTGTCACTGTTTTCTAAAGGAGGTACATGAGATAGGTAAGGTGTGAAAGAAATCATGTTCTTCCTCCATTTCCTACTGTTTCTGAAGGCATTCACTGGGATCTACTGTGGCGCACCATATGGCAAGCCGTTTGAGCATTTATTCCATATCCTTGATATCAGATGTCAGTGTTGTTCACTAGTTCGATCATTGTCAGCACTAGTTGGACATCTGGTCACACTAGTTAGACAGAGTCTTACTAGTCACTCTTTTTCAGCAACTAGTGACACTTTTGTCAAACTAGTAACAACTTAAGCCTGACTAGTGAAGCCACAGAGCCATACTAGTGGCACCAAAATCCAAACTAGTCAGCTTTATGAAAGACTAGTGGCCCACTGGGCTGAACTAGTAATGCTTAAAGTCTTACTAGTGAACTAGTGAGCTGCAAAAGCTCTGACTTGTTAGCTAGTAGCAGCTATTCACCTCACTAGATTGCTAGTAACCTCAAGTTTTTTACACTAATTACACATGTAAGAGCCAAAATCATCACTAGTGTGACTAGTAAGGATTTACACCTTACTAGTTAAACTAGAAAAAGTCTCATTGACCTTACTAGTTAACTAGTGGGGCTTAAAATGTTTACTAGTTTACAGTACTGATCAAATACGAATCAAGAATCGGATACTGCATTGCATCTCCCATCATAGCGTGTCCTGCCCACCATGCTCGAAACAGTCAAGATGAAAGAAAATACTGCTCAACGGCTGGGTTGCTAAGCCCTGCCCCGTTGTGATGCTCTGACAAGCTGTCAGAGTAAGCATGGAGCCCACAGTGATTCCAGAGAGAAGCAGACAGAGGGGTCTACAGTGTGTGTTTGAAGGATATATCCAGGATGTCAAACTGACTCAGCAGCAACAACAGGTTAAAAAGACAAAGATAGTTAGAAGCTAAAGCCGAACTATAGGCTACAGATCACAGTGTAAAAGTGAACCACCACATCACTGCTGATCGCCACACAAGACAATGAATATAAAGGGAAANCAGTGTGTGCAGATGAATGGTGTTTGGCTTCACCCCGTAACGCTGCCAGCGCCCAGACATCCACCATCAGAAAGGACACTGTTCATCTGCACACACTGCGATGACACACAGCTGGTTGAACATCAGCAGAGTTTCCCTGCTTCCCTTCACTGGTTCCTGTACAGCAGGGTCTGTCTTTGTTTCACTGTTATAATCATTACAAAGCAAAAGCAGCATGTGTATACATTCAGTAGGCTATATCTTCAGTAGCTAGCTAGCTAACCCTACACTTTTCAGGGTTTGATTTTGCTTTTGGAACAGGGAAGAAACGTATACCTTTTTCCAACCTCTCCAGGTAACGAGTGTCATTAATACACGACGTGCCCCAGGCACAACATTTAGCTCCAAATCCACAAAACCAGCCTGAAAATGAAGGACATCTGAAACAATTGCATTACAGTCAATGGAGCACAGCTGTGTTGTTGTCAGATTGATGCTACATTATGATTGGCCAGTCTGCGTCTGGGGGCGGGACTTAACAAAGGGTCAAATGAGGCATCGGCTCTGACTGGTTGATTTTATCCACATGCAGCTGGGCCATTAGAACTGGTACAAGGCAATAGAGTAGGCAGAAGATTTTCAGAAAAGTTTCAGCAAATATAAACATTTTATTTATTTATTTTCTTTTTAGACACTACTTACCTAACTGTTCACCCATTTAAATTAGGGTGTCAGAGGTACTCAAGGTTTGACCTGTTCACCAATACTGAACAATCTCTGTTCTCAGGCCAGTGTTCCTTCTTCATGTGTCACCTCCATGAGTACCACTTTGTTAAAGAGAAGAAGACCTGGACTGAAGCCCAGCAGTACTGCAGAGAGCATCACACTGACCTGGCCACAGTGTCTGACATGACAGACATGGAGAGACTCCGTGACTCTGCACAGAATCACAGTGGAGCCTGGATTGGGCTTTCCAACCACACAGATGCCAACAGGACGTGGCACTGGTCTCTGCCAGGGGTGGAGTACAATGAAAATAAGACAGATTGGAATACAAATGAGCCAAATGACAAGGAAAAACCTGAGAACTGTGTGCGGATGAAGAATAAAGAATGGAGTGATGCCCCCTGTACTAAAAATCAGGAATTTGTCTGCTATGATGGTGAGAATATTTGGCTCATACTTTGATTATGTGTATCTGGAGCATATCATCCTGTCTAACAATAGTTTGTTGGGGTTTTTAAATGTAGACATATCCCTCCTCTTTTTATTTGGAATTAAGTAGAAACTTGGTCGATAAGGTTAAAATA